TAGACATAACTTTTAAGGTAAAACAGGCCTCTCCCAAGCCACATTTCTACTGGCACGGTTGTCGTTGCGGCAAACATTTTTTGCATTGAAATGACATGTCTATACACTACTTGGCACTCACGGTTGTGACGGAGTTTTGACGCTGTAGCTTGATGTACATTATTCGTTTTCGAATCCCTTTCAGGGCATTGATGAATCCCATTTGAGGTGAAAACTGCAGCTGCTCGGATGGGAAGCAAGGCTAAAGGAAACTCACTTCTCCTATGCGGCCTCAGATGAATGATATTATAATTCATTGTTTATCTATAGGTTATAAGCATACCTGATAAATTTACGGGCTCCATACAGATGAACATGCTGAAAAAGAGTTCAGACATCAATCCGATGTTTTCGATTTTTCATCCTAAACTACAACTTATAAAGCATGAATAAGCTAAATTGAGAGACAGACTTGAAGTCACAAAAGAAAAATCGGAGCAAAAATTGCAAACGGTGAGAAAGATTAATTAAAGGATCTATAGCCAGTTCTCTAGTATGATGCAAGCAAATAAGGTGGGATTAATTGGGTGCTTGAGAAGTAGAGGTGACATATTCGTATAAAGCCCTCATTTCCCCATGCATATTAGGCATAAAAATGTTATTGCTGAGCTTACTTCCACTTCGAGTGAAAGTGTTTGGCGAAGAGATTCGAATGTCGATTCCATCAGAAGGTGACGACGGATTCCTCTCTACCAGCTGTCGATTGGCTTTACTGAAGGACTCATGCTGACGCTGTTTTCAAAGTAATCTCCTTCGATTTCGGTGAAAACGTGTTAAGCTTTCGTCCGTCGTATGACGAAAGGTAATTTTAGGAGATCACCTTGAAAACAGCGTCAGCATAAATGCTCCAGTAAAGCCAATCGACAGCTGGTCAAGAGGAATCCGTCGTCGCCTTCTGGTGGAATCGACCTTCGAATCTCTTCACCAAACACGTTCACTTGAAATGGAAGTGAGCCGAACAATTATGAAACAAGAGATTCCTCGAAATTCAACTTTTCTTCGCCTATAATAAGAATGTTAATCTGCTTATTTAGGGGGTTATTACATTATAACTTTCTGGTAGTGAACCTCATGAGTAATAGAATTGCATACAAGCGTCAAAGGCTTAGGTATGCTTGTTTCACAAGAAAGCGAGGCAATAGGGCGCTTTGCTGCCATCAGTCAAATGATTACTCACCAAAAGACTACTTGGATTTACTTGAGCACATAATGATCATCTTCTATTTTGATTTAAATGCTTCCGCTATAATATTAAGCGCTCTGTAGCGAATGAGCTCTGAGAATTGCAAAAACTGCTTCTTAATTTCTATAATACATTTACTGTGGGTGCCTGAGGTCATATGGGTCAACACTAGGTGATCTTTTGGATGGTATCGTAAGTTCTTGATACATCTTCTTGATGAAATTCGAAAATAGAATTCATACAATATATAGGAATTGTGAAAGCAGACCTAAAAGTCAACCAAGAGAGCCATTTCAAGTCGCAATCTAAAGGTTTCTTTAAAATTGACACATCTGTTGATACAATGGCCACGGATACGGTATGTATCAATACTAACGGGTTTGGTTCTCGGCTATCAGAAGCCTGATTGTCGAGAGATGTACTAGCTTCTATTTTTACCTTTATTGTACTGATAGCCGCTCTGTCCAAGTTGAATAGAAGGTAACTACCTACTGAAAGGCCTGACGAAGTGAAATTGAATGCAAAAACAAGCCTTTCTTCCTATTCACTATCAGCCAAATACAAAAAGCGAGTTAAAACTGGTACACCTCTAAGATATGCTATCGATGCCTAATCCTTTCAACACGGAAATTTATAGGTCACAATCATTTATGCATTAAATAATGTTTTTAGCCTCTGTACTGTATCTAAATGTTAATGGTCTAAAAGTTATTCACGGTAATTTGGGAAAATAGGCTCCAGTTCATGACTATTCGAACCGAAAGAAGTACGATGACAATTAACTTTCTACATAATTACTTACTAAATTCCCCATCGTCTTAGCCTGCTAAATTTTCTTATAATAACAATTTTACTCACTTTCACCACACGATTTCTTTTTTTGGGCTTAAATGATTAAACCAAACCTAGCTCCATTAAAAACTTCTCTATTTTAAATTCTGAAATAAATTTATTTGCAGCTGGTTCTTACCGCTAAATGGAGTCATGCTTTCTTTGGTCTTTTGTGGTTTTAGCATAATTATCTCTCCTGAGACACTGATTGCGGCCTTATTATACGTCAGAATGACTATGGTATTCATAGAATAACTCAACTATATACTTTTGTGCATATTGGGCAGCTTGCAGTATGATAAGAATACCAACTTATTTAAATGCTTTATACAGAAGAGTCTTTATAATACCAGTTCCTATCAATGCAATATAATAATGCTCAACTATAGCTGTATTTCTGCCCTTTGTATAAAATTGAAAAAAAAATTAGTGAAACTCATAAACCTCTTTCAATTAAGAAATAAATTAAGTTGTATGAAGCCAAATGGGTCCACACGAAGAAACCTCTATGAACAAAATATGACCATGAAATAACAGAATTGGCATTGACAAAAATGATATTAAAGCGGAACAAAATGTAATAATAAGAATAGGTAATATTGCAAACCGCATGCCAGTCCATCCATCTTCGTGAAACTGGGTGCTTATTTTAACATTATTTTCAGCCCCATCGATCGAATATTTGGGCAAAATTTACTGGCATGGAATTTTTTCGAAAAACTTTTGATATTTCATATGATGTTTGCCTATGAAAAAGATAGCATTGTTTGGCTTTTTAGAAGCATCTTGCAGGAACACCGGGGAGTTTATGCTTGTCTGATGTATTCACACAATAACATTAGAAAATGTACAAAAAGTATGCATTTACACGACCCTTAGTCCGGATCGAGCGGCTATGCACAACTTCGACTATCCAGCCTGATTTCAGACACATCAGCTGTACTTTCTGAGCCAGAAAATGCTGGTAACTCAAAGCCTAACTGAGTGTAAATATCAATCTGCTTAGCAGAAGCTAAGTGACTTTCCATTTTTCTAATCGATTTGGGCTTTACATTTTCTGGTGGATTAAGTTCATCATGTAATCCTGTACAAATGGTTGAATCCAAGGTCTTACAACATTTCAGATCAGTAGACGGATCCATAAAATTGGTGAAGAGTTCTCGGCGCTTAATGGTCCCAGCTGGCAACTGAGCCCCAACTGGCCTTGGCGAAGCACACCTTACTTGCGTGAAGTTGGACATGGTAGTCACTGGCTTCGAACAATTGTCACCAGTATCCACGAATAAGGAAGCCAGTCTCTTTACGTTTTTTGGTTCTGCCCCATCTCCTGTCTTCGCTGAGCTAAGACTGGGTATTCGAGGTCCGGACGACGGCTTTTTCATTCTTCCATTTGTCTCGAAAGCATAGTCACTATCACCCATTACATGCGTCTGCTTTGCATACAGCTGACTTTCGCAACTCCTCGTCTCCAACCCGTTTGACGGAAGTGTGAAATGACTTCTGGTGCCCGGCCCACCTACGGTTGAGGCTGAAGTGTTTTCACAGCTAGCCTGGGCAAATATCATATCCAAATCGTCTAGCACATCGAGGAGACCGCTTCTTGCCTCCAAGAATTCAGCTTCTTCCATTCCCTCACCGGCGAACCAGTGGACAAAAGCACGCTTTCTAAACAGCAAGTCGAAGTCGGCTAGCAGACCGGTGAATAATGGCTGAATGCAACTGCTGTTTGTCATCAAAGTGAGTGAACGTGTCAACCTGGTGGGCCCGTGGCCGGGGAGACAGATTGCCGGTTGCGGGGTGAAAGAGACCTTAAATCCTGTCGGGCACCATTCGACAACTCGGAAACCGGCTTTACGCTTGACCGTCTTCATGGCTCGGATGGCGTCGGCTGGGGACACATCGCCACGATAGACCAGACAACTGGCCAGCTGCAGTTCATCCCCACTTGGCACGCTGATTGTCCGGTTGGCCGGAGCGAATACCTCTTGTGTCATCAGGTCTACCGAGTGGACCTGACCCCGATCTTCGATGGCTTGACCGAAAGGGCTGTAACTGATGAGAGGGAATTTGACCTTTGGAAAAGGTACCAGGTTGGTAAGGTATTCAGCCAGGCTGTAGCTGGCCGGCACCTGAAAACGCAGTCCTGCCGACAGGCCAGCCACCATCGGAGCAATCACACGATTCACACTCGTGAAACTAGGCCGACGGACAGAGAGCTGTTCAGAGCAGATGGTGTAGAGTGCCGCGTTGTCTAATAGGCAGATGAGGTCACTGCCAAGTGACGCCTCGTTCAGCTTGTTGAGCGACAGCACTGTGTTGTAAGGCTCTGTAGGGCCCGAGGAAAGCTGCCCTCCTGGCACCATACAGAGCTGGATGGAGGAATGACGGCCGAATTCACAGGATGAAGCGTCTAAAAATGAACAAAGCAAGCTGCTGCCCGAGCCGCCGGCCAGGCTTGAGAAGGTAAAGAAGCCTTGAAATCGATCAGTAGCCTCCACGAGTCTGCGAGTCGTCTCTAACAGAGTTGGAGTTACTGAAGAGCTAAGCGAGTAGAAACCACGTGAAAAATTCCCCTCGGAATCTTAATACCCAGTCACCAGGGTCTCGGGGTGGAACAAGGATTTATAATTTCCCACTCGAATCTCGTCTATGACCGATCAGTAGATGGTAGCATTAGTGACGGGTTGCAGAGCATGTTGTTAAATATTAATAAATAAGCATAATTGCAAAACGAGGAA